TATATATATATGAGATAGAGAAAAGTAAGAAATGTAAAAAGTAACAAGAAACCTCAAAAAAAAAAAAAAGAATATTTGTTAGGTTGGAAGAATTATTGGTCTACCTATGTCAAGTTTGAGCCTTTTTAATTGGAAGTTAGAAAAGAATAAGAATAATTTGGTTAGGCTCCACAAATTAGATTCAATTAATGAAATTTAAGTCAAAAAACTGCTAACTTGTTTGATTTCATTGTTTATACTATTATTATTATTATTATTATAAGATACATATAAAATAAAAAAATAAAATAAAATAGATCAACCCTACCCTCCTCAACAAGTCAACGAGTGGTTAACAAATTCAGGATACATGTGAAAATTGGACAGACCTTGTCATGACCTACTTCTCATGCCATGACAACCCATTTTAAAAAATATAATATTATGATGCCTATGTATCATTATTCATAATTAATCAATGAATATTAACAATATATTTATTCTAACACTTTTTATTATTTGTTAAAATTTATTAAGAACTATAAAATTACAAAATAAAATTTGTTAAATAAAATGTGAGCTTCTCACTTTTTTTATTTTTATAAAATTTTAACTAATAAAAAATGTTTAAAAAGGTGTTGCTAGCAAAATATTTTTAGTTTTTTAATTTTTAATAAAATTTTACTAATAATAAATTTTGACAATTGTACCTATAACATTCACTAATGAAGAATGTAGCTAACTTGCTATGTGAACCCAAATAAATATTTAAGTGAATTTATAAAAATAGCTTCTGATACGTATAAGTCATTATTTTTACTATATATTTTTACATTATAAAAATAGTTTTTTCATATGAACATAAAAGTGTACTACAGAATTGTTATTCAATCATATGTATGAAAAGTTTGTTAACTCTCATAATATTCATTCTAAAAATTACATCAAAATAGTTTTATTATTTGTTGAGAATGTAAAATCTTTTATGCAAACAAATAATCCATATTCATTAAACTCTTATTTCAATATAGGTTTTTTAAGATGAATTATGGAAATAGTTTCAATTTACATAAAAATATTTTATTTTTATTTTTCAATACAAAAATAACATGATATACTTACATAATAAAAAAAAAATCAATAAATACTTAATTTTTGGTAAATGAAGAGGAATAAACCAAAAGATAAAGAATAATACCCTTAGAAACTGAACCCCTATAACATTAGCTGGAAGGAGTAGTTTCAAGTCATTAGAAGAGAGTCCAAATACTTAATAAATGTTTAATTAATCTATTAATACAAATTAAAAAAAAAACACAAAACAAAGTCTGATATTGGATGACATTTTTTATTATAACGAGATTTAATAAGGTAAGGAATTCATGATTGATTCACGGATGAAGATGCTAAAAAAAATTATATTTTAATCATTAACTATATATAATTTATTAAAAAAAATTATATATAATTTTAATTTAGTGATAAGCGTTCAATATAACTATTTTTAAATAAAATATTAAAGTACCATTATATATATATATATATATATTAAACCTGATCCGCGTTATTTTAATTTGATTATCTAATTAATGATTTATCCACCCTAGACCCAACCCCTAACCCACCCGACTTTTTTTAATTTGTAATTACCATTCATAAACTTTCAAACCAAACATCATCGACTATAGGACAATAGAAGTATAACAGTGGAATAACTAGATGCTAATGAAATACAACATACATATAATACATTATACTTAAGTCCCGATTTTAAGTATGATTGGTTTAACGTTAACTAGTTAACTAGCTAATGAAAAGTTTCACCAAATTAATAGTGTCTAGTTAGGTGATAGAAAATCATTATGAGTACAAATTAATGATAAATTCACCGCAAACCAACTATTCATTACTTTTAGAAATCAACATTGTTCTTACCTAGATTAAGAGGGACGATCTGTCAGGTAAGATTGGTGAGCCTCCTTTACTAGGTATGTCAGTCGTTGGTGGGGTGGTACCTGCAACTCCGATATTAAAGTTAGTCTTTGATAGAATAAACGTCTCATATATAGTACACGTACCTTGATGTGAATTAGAATTTTTCTCTTGGGCGAGAATGAGGTTGATCTGAGCCTAAAATTGATCGCAGTCTAATAGGCGATGAACTTTTATTTTGACCGATATCACATAACATCTATTCGATATCGTGCGACACTTGAATGACAAACTTGAGCTCAACACCCCGATACGGATAATACATAAGAGACATATCAAATAAAAATGTCCTTATATTATATTAAAAATATCCATATATATCAATCCTTAAATAAAAATAAATAATTTAAATTAAAAAAATTATTTAATATTATAGTTATAATAATAATTATTATTATTATCATCATCACTATTCATCACATTTTTATTATTAATAATAATAATAATAGTCACAATACTCTTCGCCATGCCCATGGCATCACCACAGACATAAAGATAACCTCCCTAAGAAATCAAATTCCACAGATTTGCTGCCTGCACACAGAAAATTAATGCAGTAAAAAATTTATCCATAGTGCATTTGTTGTCTACTAGGCTGTAATGACACTTACTTTATCCATCATCTTGTGTTGAGAATACTCCTTTTCAGGTCCCTCTCTCGAGAATGCAACTATCAACTCTGACAGAGCACCTTGTTCCACAAAATGCTTTAGCTCATCCTCATAAATAAAATCCTATAAACCAAAAATAGTAGGAAAATCCCAGATCAATCTAAAACTCCATATGGATTAAAAGTCCACCAACCAAATGTTTTACCATTTATCGTTTCCTACATCCAAAGAAGAGTAATGCAGGACCTAGTCGAGCGCCATCCACTATGAGGGCTAGTCTTTCCTGGTTAAATCAAAGATATTGCAAGAATTAAAAAGAACCAGAATTTTACCATAAATTAAGTACGTGTAAAACGTTTAACGTGGAAGTTATAATGTGTAACTTCACGTTAAACGTGATTTTTCACGTTTAGAACTTGAAAGCAAACACGCCGTAAGTTCATGAATTCAACAGTAATGTTATTCAAGAACTTTTTTGGGAATCTAGAAATTAGTGTGTAACTGTGTATTTGGTTCAATTTCATTTAAAGAAATATTGCTTATTCTTGCCAAATTTTTTAAACAGTTCTTGAAAAATGAGCGATTGTTTATTGGAAACAATCTATTCCCAAACAAGCACTTAAATTGTGCATTTCGTATTTTAGCATTTTAACTCATTATTGTGGTTGATTTTGCATACTCATCTATTTGATTCCAATGTTTCCTTCCTATCCTTCCCTTTCTATTCTACACCTCCACTCCGAAATTCCCCATTTTCAGCTAATGTTGTGGCGTTGTGCAATAGCTAGCAATCTGATTTCCATAAATATTAATGTTAAACTACAAAACACTGAAATTTTCACATGACTGTAAAAATCCCCTGAAGGGTGCCAAGCCAGTACCAGGACCAACCATGATAGTAGGAATGGAATGATCAGCTGGTAACTTGAAGTTTGATGTTCTGATAAAAACAGGAGCCCAACTACAATCACAGCTTTTCTCCAAGGGAATAGCATTCTGAACATTTATGAGGGAGATTCAGGTTAGATGTAACAAAGCTTGATTGGTAAATGCATACTCTCGGGAGGGGGGAAGCTCACACAACAAAGAAGA